ATTCCTGATGAAGCAAATGAACCCCACATGAATCAGAAGCCAACGAGACAGAGACCAGTGCGGAAGAAGATACAAGATACAAGTCCTTTCTTTATAAAACTTGTTTATCCTTCCTCAATACAACTTTGTAATTTACTTAATGTTCACAACAATTCACTCACTTTCTATTGCGCTTAGACTTAATTGTCCGTCCCCGCAAACTATAGTTCCGATCTCTGTGTCTGCTATCCTCAGTTCCCGCCGACCATAACCGCTGTCTTTCTTTCTCTCTGCCTGCTTCGTCTCCGCTACGTCTCTGTCTTTGTCTCCACTATTGCTTTGACTCCATCCGTCTCTCTCACTGTCTAGCGCACTTATATACGATAATACTGCCTGTTCTAGAAACTTCTAAGACTCTCAAAACGTGCTACCAGCGTCAGTTGACGCAACGCTGTCGCAACACACCAGCGAATCTTCTAGAATATTCGTCACGTGACCCCGCTGTCGTAACACACTAGCGAATCTTCTAGAATACTCGTCACGTGACCCCACCGTCGTAACAGTATGTTAAATTACTGCATGATATTTAGAGATGTCATCACGAAAAATCCATCCTTTTCAGGACAAATTGATACTTAAAACACAATCAGCTGTACTAATTGTCTCGTTCTGTATCTATAAAATCTACACATTATGTATGATACCATTCTTTCAGGACAAGTAGTTGTAAAAGTGTGTAAAGTAAATTATTGGCTATAACGTTTTCCTCATTCAAATGGATAAATTTATATAATGTGTGAGATAAAACTGATATATGTGACACACTGTAATGGTCTAAAGTAACTTGCTGCTACAGCCAGGGCTTAACAAAAAGAAAACAAATTTATTATCCTTTGACAACCACAGAATTCTAAAATGTGACTTTCTAACAATTGAAATACAAATTTAATAACATACCAAAACACAGTAAATAAATATGTGCCTGGCAAGTACTTGAAACTAATGTTAATGAACAATACAATATATAAATCCAGGTTACTAAATATTTCACTCAGTAAATAAATAAAGGAATCAAGAAAAAAAGAACCAGACAAATAAAGAAACTTAAATCCAGAATATCGATATTCCATATTTAAACTACAAAATCACAAACTACATTGAATAATAATGAGCTATGTCCCATGAACTAACTTGTCACATCTGAGTGTAGTATTCTTATTCACTTGTTAAATCACGAAATTACAAATTATATGATTGTAAGTTACATAATCCTGTGTAAAATATCTGTACATAATTTACAAACTCTTGTGCAACAGTAATGATATCTGTATTTCTCCACCAGGAAAATTGATATCAGTCTTGTAATACATGCAAAATGCTCAAATTAACGTGATTATCTAGAAGATGAGTTAGTGTTTTAATTGTAACTAAAAATTCATAGATAAACTAAATGATAGAAGGAATAATAAATGAACGATAAACAAAACCATAATCAAATCAACAGATTTCGTATTTCACGACAATGATATAATGGTTGTCTGATTAAAATAATGGTTTTACTTAAAACTACAATGTTGATGGTTTAATCTCATGTTAAGACACTATGATAAGCTCATCACCCTTCTGAATTATCCATTTATACAAATACCATCTGCCCTAGCAGCACTAGCCTTAGTAATACAGTTTGTTATTTGCCTATAGAACTTTAGTAACACAATCTGCCTATAACACCAGTTACCTTTGTAAAAAAACATCTATTACAGTTAAATATATAAATGAAAACTATAAACATAAGTTGAGATGTGTTGAAATCTGTAGCTATCTTATTGAAGCATTGTAACACTGTCTACTCAGTAACACAATCTGCCTTTGTAAAACACGTGTACACTTATCTATAGAGACTGCAAACTGTATTAAGCATTGAAATAAAACGGAAACCTCCCAAAATATACTGTTATGAAAGTGGGGGTCACGTGACGTTGGTAACACGTAATAAGTATCTAAAAGATTCGCGAAAAACGTTAGCGTGTTACGACAGCGGACGTCAAGTGACACTGGTAGCACGTGTTGAGAGCCTAGAAGATTCTGGAAGAGGTGGTATCATCGTATATAAGTGCGCTAGACAGCGGGCGAGAGAACGAGAGAGAGAGTGGGGAACCAAGGACAGCAGTTACGGTCGGCGGGAACCGAGGATAGCAGATACAGAGATCGGAACTATAGTTGCTGGCAGGCGGAGATAAGAGACAGACAATTAAGTCAAGCGCGGTAGAAAGTGAGTGAATTGTTGTGAACAATAGTGTGTGTAACTGTGAAAATTAAGTGTATTGCAAAGTTGTATTGAAGAAGAATAAACAAGTTTTATTTAAGAGAGGACTGTATCATAGAAAAATTAACAAACATACAGAGACGTAACAATACCCTTATTCCTAACAGCCATGAACTTTGGTATGTACAGAACCAAAACAGAAATGTCTCAATGTCTCTTACCCTAGCAGCCATAATAGTTAAATATATAAAAGTAAACTATAAACATAAGTTGAGACAAATTAAAATCTATAGGGAATTCTACTGTTCGCCTATAAAACCTTAGTCTACCTATACAAACATTATCCTTAGTAACACCATCCGCTTACAGAACCTTACTAACACTTTCGGCATATAGAACTTTGGTAACACTGTCTGCCTATAGAAACACCATCTGCCTTTGTAAGACTCATGTAATGTATTTAAATATATAAGCAAAATCTATAAAATTCGTCTATAAAGAGCCAGAGATTAGAATAGTATATTTAATGTAAGTGTTACTTATAAAACGAAACTGTAATTGTAAAAAGAACATTATGTAAATTTGATAAATTATTAATTTTAAGAGTGGTTGTGACCATAAAGTTGATTTCATGTTGACCTACATCACCCTCTGGTGGTTTGCTCATGAACTATCTGCGGATTCATCATACCAACTCGCTCTCTGGTGTCACAATGTAGAACTATGACCCTAGCAACATGCCTCTGGTGCCACTTAGTGGCAATATGACATCTTCGTCTAGCCCCGCCCCTGTTGTCTGAGGCAGCCAATCAAGGCTAAGTATCTGAAGTGCTGCTCTAACTATTCTAACAGCAGTAAACTGTAGTAATTAGAAAAGTAAAACAGAAACCTCCCAACGTATAAACTTACCCATAGCTGCAATGAAATGCAGTAAGTTCCCATCCAAAATAGAAACGTCCCAATTTTGTTTCCATACTTACTGCAGTTCATGGCTGCTAGGAGTAAGTGTTTACGCAGTAATTATACTTGTTAGGAGGTTTCTCTTAGCAGCCGTGAACCCTAGTAAATATAAAAACAATACAGAAACGACTTATTACAAGTCATGTCTTCTAGGGATAAATGTATGTACATTGGGACCAGTAATTATACTTGTTAGGAGGTTTCTCCTAGCAGCTCCGAACCATAATAAATACAAAACAGTAACCTTCCAATGTACGTTTACCTTTAAAACCATGAACTGCAGTAAGTACAAAATGGAAATAGGAACCTCTCAAGTTGTACAATTGACCTTAACAGTTTGATCTCTAGTAAATACACATCCAAAAAAAAAAGTATATGCATTTCTCCTTAACAGCTCTGTACTGTTTTTACTATAGGGCAAAAATTAAACCTCACCTTATGTGCACTTACTCACAAGCAGTCGTGATATGTAGTAAGAAAAGAACCAAAACATGAACACAAAACATGTTCACTTACCTCTTGCAGACGTAAATAGTAGAATGTATAGGAAGAAAACAGAAACGTTTCTATGTGTACACTTACCCCTAGAAGGTGTGTGAACTGTGGTTATTACAAGAACACAACAGAAACCTCCCAATGTGTACTCTTGGCCCTAGCAGCCATGAATTGAGTAAGTAAAGTACCTAAACAGAAAAGTCTCAACGTGTACACTTATCCCCAGCAGATGTGAACTGTAGTGTGTTTGGAAACAAAACAGAAACCTTCTAGCATGAACACTTACCCGTAGCAGCTCTGAGCTGTAGTAAGTACAGGACCAAAAAAGAAAACTTCCAACGTCTACACTTACTCCTAGCAACTGTTAACTGTAGTAAGTACAGTACCAAAACTGAAACCCCTCAGCGGGAATACTTACCCGTAGCAGCCATGAGCTTTAGTATGTATGGAAAAAAACAGAAACTTCCCAACGTTTACAATTTCCCCTAACAGCCGTGAGCTTTAATAAGTACAGAAACCTCCCATTAAATACAAATTTTCTTTACAAACTAAAAATTCGAGCTTTAAACTAAAATGAGATAAACTGGGTATTTTGACTTTGATGTTTTTATAACCTTGCCCTATTTTTTATTTTACATTGGTAAGCTAATAAATGTTTGTTTTTTTTATTTCTTATTTTACTGATTTCGATCACAATTTTGTATCAAATAAAAGAGATAATATTTGGTGAAACTAAGAAATGGATGGTGTCAAAACACCTGAAAATATGTATGTTTCGGTTTAATTTTTGTTGCAGGTTTAAGTAAGTTCGCTCGGTTAGCCAGATCTGTCACCAGAAGTCGCTCTGTTATTGTTCAGCAGTTTTCTTCACACTTGCCTGTCGTGAAATCGGAGAATGCCAAACAGTCGCAGCTGGGTCACGTAAGTTTTCATTTCCTAAGCTGGAAGACATAGTTTGTAACTCTATTGCCTCTGTAAAGAATATGACATCAAGGATATCTCAGTAAGTTCCTGTATAAGGAGTTTTGCTGTTTGACTTCATGGTGCAATAGGAAAACATTCGTGTGCTAGACTAAATGACCAAATACCTGAGATTAGAGTTCACGACAAAGTAATAGTACACTCGTAGCACGGTTTTGTGTTATACATTTTTCGGCACAGGACATACAAAAGACAAGTTAGGCTGAATATCCTGATTACAGAGAAGAAGAATATTATTCATTCATCACAATCGCTTCTCATTAAATCATTGCTTAAGAATGTATAAATCTCATGGGCTTTTAGGATGTAGGAATTAGAGTTTCATTTTGTAGTACCCTGTCACATCGTATGAGGTAGTAATATATTATCAAACTAAAGAACTCGTAATGTAGCACCCCTTCACATCTTAAAAAACTTCTAATGTATTACTTCATCACATTTTAAAGAATTCTAGATAGTAATATCTCGAGAAATCGTAAACTTCGTGATGTATTACCCCATTATAAATTAAAATACTCGTGATGTAATACCTCATTGAAACTGAAAAATCTCGTGATCTTGAACCACGTCATAACTTATTTTCTGGTGTAGTATCCCCTTTAGGACATAATACCTCTTGATGTATTACCCTGTCAGAGCTTAAGAACTAGTAATATAGTAAACTATCAGAAGGACGTGTGATGTGCTACCTCGTCACAACTTACCTTGTGAGGTAGTATCCTGTCAGAACTTAGGAACTAGTGATGTACCATCTTTTCTGAACTTAAGAATTTGTAATTTAATGTCCCATTAGAACTTAATTGGTGGTATAGTATCCCGTCTGAACTTAACATGTGGTTTAGTACCCAGTAAGAACTTTACTCGTGATGTACCATCTTTTCTGAACTTAAGAATTTGTAATTTAATGTCCCATTAGAACTTTACTCGTGATGTAGTATCCCGTCTGAACTTAACATGTGGTTTAGTACCCAGTAAGAACTTTACTCGTGATGTAGTATCCCGTCTGAAATTAACATGTGGTTTAGTACCCGCTAAGAACTTTACTCGTGATGTAGTATCCCGTCTGAACGTAACATGTGGTTTAGTACCCAGTAAGAACTTTACTCGTGATGTAGTATCCCGTCTGAAATTAACATGTGGTTTAGTACCCGCTGAGAACTTTACTCGTTACTATCCCGTCTGAACTTAACATGTGATTTAGTACCCAGTAAGAACTTTACTCGTGATGTAGTATCCCGTCTGAACTTAACATGTGGTTTAGTACCCGCTAAGAACTTCACTCGTGATGTAGTATTCCGTCTGAACGTAACATGTGGTTTAGTACCCAGTAAGAACTTTACTCGTGATGTAGTATCCCGTCTGAACGTAACATGTGGTTTAGTACCCAGTAAGAACTTTACTCGTGATGTAGTATCCCGTCTGAACGTAACATGTGGTTTAGTACCCAGTAAGAACTTTACTCGTGATGTAGTATCCCGTCTGAACGTAACATGTGGTTTAGTACCCAGTAAGAACTTTACTCGTGATGTAGTATCCCGTCTGAACTTAACATGTTGTTTAGTACCCAGTAAGAACTTTACTCGTGATGTAGTATCCCGTCTGAACGTAACATGTGGTTTAGTACCCAGTAAGAACTTTACTCGTGATGTAGTATCCCGTCTGAACGTAACATGTGGTTTAGTACCCAGTAAGAACTTTACTCGTGATGTAGTATCCCGTCTGAACGTAACATGTGGTTTAGTACCCAGTAAGAACTTTACTCGTGATGTAGTATCCCGTCTGAACGTAACATGTGGTTTAGTACCCAGTAAGAACTTTACTCGTGATGTAGTATCCTCGTCTGAACTTAACATGTGGTTTAGTACCCAGTAAGAACTTTACTCGTGAGGTAGTATCCTGTCTGAACGTAACATGTGGTTTAGTACCCTGATTATCAGTTTCCTACATTTTTTGTAATGATTGTTTCATGAGTCATACGAATCTTAGCCCATACAACTTGAATGATGTTTTTGAAATATTTTCAATTATTGTGTGATTTAATATTTTCAATTACGAAGTTCAACTACTTTTTCTAAACTTAAGTACCTATCAAAAACAATAAATTATTTTTGTATTATATTTAGAGGACAGTGTAGTAATACATAGGAATTGAAGAAGTCTTAGTAACAAAGTATAACTAAAAATTCCAGAAAAATATATTACAGTTTTATATTCTTATTTTCTCTATGTGTCAATGGATTTTTTTATTTATTTTTTTACAAATGGAACTAATCATACTCATTTATAAATTGTTGCTAATAGTAACGGAACAGTATTGCGAATAAATTCATTATTTCATCAACACACGCCAGTTCTGTACAGAAATTAATTATCAGCAAAGATTGAAACCGTAATGAAACGTTGGTTGAGGCAATTTTCAACATCCAAATCATTTTGGTTGAATGAAAGACTGTTATTTTGTTATTAACTATCCCTTAATTAATATGAAAATATTTGAAAAGAAATTTATATTCCAAATTTCAGAAATTAGAGAATTTTGCGTAAAGGCTTCAAGTCATAATTAATGATTAAATACTTGCATAATTTAAATAAAATGTAAAATTTATTTAAAGTAATATTTCAAAGACATTGCATGTTATAAATGTCGAAATATAATAAAATAGAAAGAAAATGAAGACTACACGTAATAGTGATATATTGAACATTATGGAGGATTATGTTAAAACATTCTTGAATATGCTACCCAACAAGTCATATAACAATCACAATCGATAAAAGTCGAGATGAAATGTATCAGAACAATATTTCGACATTATTTGGCATTTCATAGGTAGAACGCTGCCTCTAAAATTTATTGTTTTTTTGGAAGTGTATGTAACAGCCTTTTCCGACAAACATTTCACACACTCAGTGTATAAAGGTTCAGATTGAGATTTAGAATTTTCAAGATGGTGATATCACTTGTACTTATCCAAAATGGTGGTATTCATTAAAAACAAAATGCCATAGATCATCTTGGAAACCTTAGACCATCCATAAAGTAACGTGCAACAAGTCTGACCCTATCCGTGATAAGTAAAGTGTGGTATCTTGTAACAGGTAAACATCCCAGATAACAACAGTATACATTACAAAATAATCGAGAAAAAATATCCGTCTCCATGGAAAATGACACCATTCACGTGTACACACAAGTTGTTTTCTTTACATGTCCAGGAAATGAAGACTAACTGTAGAAACCTATATGAACGGTACCTAGTTATAGAAAAATGGCAGTACATGATGACACTTGTGCCAAGTTTCATGGCACATCACAAAATATAAACTTTTTCAGATAAATTCGTGACCAAAACCGGAAGCTGCGCCAGGTAAAAGTTAGGAATCGCGAAAATGGACACAAAAATTAGGGTGAACTCTACCTAACATCAGAACAATGTTCTGGACTTTTTTTACCACACAGAAATACCACAAATTCAAACCAAACCAGTTATACCTTTTGTTCAACCGTCGCATAACTCAAGCAGCTGGAAAATGATATGGTTGTCCATGCTATTTCATAAGAAGACATGCAGGTCACGTCATCTGATGCAACACCCATTGATTTCTCTGTCATCTAGACTGTTGAAAAGGGCGTTGGAAAACCATCATCCTTGTACATTAGATGGATTATCAAAATCATGTAGGAAGGAGGGTATGGTTTGGAGATGACATATTTATGATAGAGCTTTTTTTGAAATGGAAACTACGCTACAGAGCTATTGTCAAGATGCACGGTCGTCAGATAGAACATGACCTAACATGGCCAGAAAGACTGTAACGGCGTAGTGAGTCTCCAAAATCGTTTTAATATAACGTACTCAAGCCTCTAAACGCCAGGAGTGACAAAAGCATCAAATGAATTACACACAGTACAGCAATTAGCAAAATTGTTAGGATGTTAAATGCACATCTTGCACTTTTTATTAAACACAGAAACAATAGTAAGATACATCCTGTACACTTTGTTGTACATGGCAGCAATAGATAAGACACGTTGTGAACACTTTATTGTACATGGCAGCAATAGATAAGACACATCCTGCACACTTTATTGTACATGGCAGCAAGAGATAAGACACGTTGTGAACACTTTATTGTACATAGTAACAATAGGTAAGACACATCCTGCACACTATTGTACATGGCTGCAATAGGTAAGACACATCCTGCACACTTTATTGAACATTTAGATAATAGGTGATATACATCCTGCATGCTTTATTGTAAAAAGAAGAAAATATATGACATTCTGCATACTTCATTGTACATTGGAACAATAAATAAGACGCATCCTGTACAGTTTATTGTGCATAAAAATATTAGGTAATACAGATTAACAATAAAAAAAATTGTCTCCTTTACGTTTTAGTATACAATAAAATAACAGGTCATATGCATCTCGCACACTGTATCGTCTTTTTGACATGTAGTGGAAGCAATAGGCAAAGTGTATTCTATATGTGCATAAATATCACTGTAATTCCCTGTAGCCACTTTCTTTGAAATAAGCAACAAGAGTTGATCTCATTCAACATGAAGAGAGTTAAATATTTAGATTGATGCATGATTAAACATGTGTGATTTAAGTACGTCTGTTGAAAATGATGTGTTATCATATATCTAATGATCTTGGAAAGGTTGTAGTTTAATAAGTAGCGTAATTAAAGAAAACAAAAAACATTGATTTTGGGCAAGTAATTCTGATACTTGTACCTGTGAATCTTGTTACCAGATATGTTATTAACAATAAAAAGGTTGTATCGCCAAACTAATTGCTCCTATCGTTGCCCTTCATTAGAATGGCCTTACTCTTGAAAAACGTTTTTCTCTCCCTAGGTGATGAGCCTGAGTCCGGATGTAACGCTCCAATATCGCCAGGAAGCTCCTAAAACACCTGCTCACATCCTCCTACATTACTGTGCTTTTAAAGCCATTTGGGACTGGATCATCCTCATCCTCACCTTCTACACGGCTATCATGGTACCATATAACGTAGCATTTAAAAGTAAGAGTAGTGAAGATGTTAGCTTTCTTGTTCTGGACAGCATTGTTGACGTTATCTTCTTCATCGACATCGTTCTTAACTTCCACACAACCTTTGTAGGGCCAGGTGGTGAAGTGGTATCTGACCCAAAAATCATCAAAATGAACTATTTAAAGAGCTGGTTCATAATCGATCTTTTGTCTTGTCTCCCCTATGACGTTTTCAATGCCTTCGATCATGATGATGACGTACGTATCCCATTCTATTCAACTTTTTGCACAAAAATATAATAGGTTCTCTCTTCCTTTTTTAACTATTTTATCAATCCATATGATATTAATTAACTATGTTCTTTAGGGATTAAAAATATCATACTTTTCTCGGAAAAAAGCTTGAAATTTATCCCATGACTAAATATACTATTCAGCATTTATGCTTTTTCACTTATCCTTTTCACCGAATTGGTGCATTTTCATTTATACTGTATAATCTTAAATATGACTTACGAACTAGTACAATTTCTACTTTTGAACACAAAAAGAGAACAAGAACAGACACGAGGTCGGACTTTATTTCAATCACAGATTTAGTTAATATTCATTATTTGTTGCTTTCCCTACGCAGCCTAAAGAGGTTATAATTTCATTGTATAGGTTATTTATTAAGCCTCATTTAGAGTACTATGTTATGTCTTGTGGTCTGTATCTCAGGAAGGACATTGAATTGTTGGAAAAGGTTCAGAGGAGGGTTACTAAGATGATATTTGGGATGGAAAGATTGTCATAAGAGTACAAGTTAAGATCTCTGAAATTGTTTTCTCTTTTAAAAAACAAGAGTTTAAAGGGGATCTGATTGATTTGTTTAAAATTCTTAAAGGAATTTATGGTGTCAATACATCATTTTTGTTCGTTCTTAATGGTGAGAATGGTAGAACTAGGCGACAAAAATACAAATTTTGGCAAGATAGGAGTCATCCTAAACTAAGGTAGTTTTTATTATTATAACAAGGTGATTGGCCTTGAAAAGGCGTCGCCTTCAGATGTGGTGGATGCATCAAACTTAAGTGAATTTAAAGGGGTGACTTGATAAATATTTGACTAATAAGGACTGATGTTGGCTTTGAATTTGTTAGTACATGTTTTTTTGTACTTGTTGTTTTAAATTAGTTTAGTTTTGTGGATGGGACACACTATAAAGACAAGCAGATCCCTTGTTGTCCCTAAATTTGATGCTTATGTAATGTATTGAAAATCTCTTCAGTAGCTTAAAAGTATTCAAACTGCTTGTTTCGTTTAGTTAATATTTACTACCTCCTGGTTTCACTAAGCAGGGTATTAATTTTTTTTTCATTACTTTACAAGGCTACTTTACTCGTGTAGTTAATATTCTCTACTTGTTGTTGTTTTTTTCTCTGAATAGGGTACTGGAAGTATCTTCAGTGATATAGGAGTAATCTGACTACCTGACTCGTATAGTTAATATTTACCACCTGTTTTATTTCGTTTTCTCTAAGCAGGGTATTGGAAGTCTCTTCAGTGCTTTAAAAGTAGTCAGATTACTTCGACTTGGAAGAGTAGTAAGGAAGCTGGACCGTTATTTGGAATACGGAGCTGCCATGTTGATCCTTCTTTTGTGTTTCTACATGTTGGTAGCTCATTGGCTAGCCTGTATTTGGTTCAGTCTTGGTCGTAGTGATGCAGAGAACGGTTTTGTGTTTAGTTGGTTGTGGAAACTCTCAAACGTTACTCAAACACCATTTCATTTTCATATATCAAACGAATCTTATGAAACTGAGCTCGTCGGAGGTCCTACACGTGAGACGATGTACGTTACCGCCCTTTATTACACAATGACCTGCATGACTAGTGTCGGATTTGGTAACGTTGCTGCCGAAACAGACAATGAAAAAGCCTTTACCATCTGTATGATGATAATAGGAGGTGAGATAATATAAGAAATAGTTGTATAGAAAATACTATAAGAACTTGTAACGACAAACATGATAAATGTTTTGCGTTTATATGATGACAGACTTAACATTTGATATATGTGATTGTAACTCATCTACATACAAGAAATCTTTGTAAAATCTTGTTTAATACTGTCGTAGTACACGAAACACAGAACTGTAAACCACTTACATACATGGAAATTATCTGTAGAATCACGTTTAGTACTGCAGCAATATTGAACTGAAATCTATCTGAATTCTTGGAAACTGTAAAATCGTGTTTAGTGCTGTGGTAATATCCGAAAGATTGGACTGTAAACTAAATAAATGAAACTCTGTAAAATCGTGTTTAGTACTGTGGTAATATCCGAAAGATTGGACTGTAAACTAAATAAATGAAATTCTGTAAAATCGTGTTTAATACTGTGTTAATATGTGGAAAATTAGCCCCTAAAACGTAATACTGTTACGTATTACAATTTCAAATAGCCTAAAATTGAGTTTTTTATATTTATTAGTTAAATAAATGCCGATATATATGCAATTTATGATATTTGCCAAAAGATTGATACACACAGTTTCTTTTTTTAATATACAAACAGTAATACAATTTACACTAACAGTTATTGCAAACAATGATTTATATATAAAGGTTTAACATACTTACAAGCAATATAATTTTTTTTCTTAGTCTAGAACTTCCTTGATGTCTTAT